ACGAGGTCCAGGCCACGGCCCTGTGCCTCCGCTGCTTCGGCGGGGGCGCTCGCAGGAGGGAGGCCCCACCCGCACGAGGGGCGGCACCGAGGTCCCCAGCGGTGGCGGGCCCTGCGGTGGCCTGCTGCGCTGCGCTCCGAAGGCCGCGCGGGTGGGCTCCGCCCCGACGATCGCGCAGGAGGGAACAAAGGCGAAGTCCATGGGCCTGTCCATGGCGGGCAGCCGCACGCTGGAGACGTCGGCGGCACCCCGTGGACGACGTGGCCTTGCCAGAAGCGGCCCTCGGGCAACGAGGACTGCCAAGCAGGAGACGACCTGTACGGTGAGGGAAGAAACCTGGCAGCCCGCCCGAGGCTGGCGGCGCCGCTGCGCGCTCCTTCGACGCGGGGGGCGCCTCTCGGGCTGGGGCCCGAGCCGCTGCTGGAGAGCGGGGGCACGCGCGGAAGGTGGAGAGTGGGGGGGCGGAGGGGGGCCAGTGGAAGTGGGGACGGAGGTGGAAGTGCGGGTGGAAGCGGAAGTGGGGGCGGGGGAAAAGGCAGGGCTGGAGGGAATGAGTGGCGCAGGTGGAAATACGCGGAGGTGGAGGTGGAGGGCGGGGTGAGGAGACGGGGAGGTGTAGGGGGAGGCGGGAGGAGGGGTTGGAGATGATTCTGTGAGATGATGCCAGAGTGCGGTGCTGGCCCAAAACTAGAGCAGACTGGAGGTAGCTGGCCCGAAGCGTGCTGGATGACATGTGAGTGCAAGGAAATGACGAGACGCTTCGATAACCCCTGCAGGTTCAGGTGGCAGTGCAAAAGGGCGTCCCGCAGCACGAACTGGCGGAACTGGGTACCCTGGCGCATCTGAAGGGATGATCTCCGCCGGAAAATCTTGCCAAAGCACGGCTCGTGCACATTCTCGGCCCACGGCTCTCCCTCGCTCCACATGTTGCACTTGCCGTCGCTCGGACGTCCACTTCCCGTGCATGTTTCGCTTTCGCGCGTGTTTTTTGTTGCTCGCTAGTCCAGGATGGTCCTCGATGGTTCTCGCCGAGAAAAAATGCACTCGTCCGAGCGATGCCGAGTGCACCAGCTCTGCCGGGCCCTTGCCGCGGCTGCCTCCGGACACGAAGGCACCGTTGCTCCCTCGACCGTCCGCCTGCCAAAATGTGGGATGCGAGCCCCGGACGCCTTGCCCTCCTCGCCGATCTTCTCCAGACAGCGCCGGCTGCTGAGCGTCGACACTGTACACCCTGCGAAATGCTTAAGAAATCACGGGTTAAGAAATTCATAGTCTCAGAACTTGAATAAAAACCCAGAAATTCCATTCAAATCTTAGGATTTACATTGAAACATTAAGAATAATCGAGACTCTGGCCGAAAATTGAAGTTTTCTTAAGCATCGCCTAAGGTGTATGCCCGGATGGCCGGATTCGCATCTCCGTGACGGCTTGGGCGGTCTCTGGTCCCGGAATCTCTCTGGACGCTCTTGGCGCCGTCGGTTGGCACGGCGTGGCTGTCCTTGAGCTTCGCGGTCGCTGCGGTCGTCCTGTCACTGCTCGCTCGAGCCCCCCATCTTCTCGATGGCCATGGTCCTAGGGTGGTGGCCCAGTGATCCGAGACTCCTTCCCAAGGGTCAGGCTGCTGCCTAGAAGGTTCCACGAAGCCATGGTTGGATGCACCTTGTGTCCCGAAAAGCTCTAGGTCCCTGTCGTACTGCTCTGCATCAATGCGACAAGCGGGCTTAGCTCGCCAGGATGCCAGCCGATGGAAGTAGGCGTGGATGGGGTTCATGGCTGGGTGCCAGCTGTCAAAGTAAAATGCGAGCATGCGGGAGGAAGGTTGCGCGCCTCACCACAGGTTGTTACGAATTCTGTGTGGCAACGCAAACTCTGGAACTATGGTTCCGCTCACTGCTTGAAAAAAACACCACCTGCTGGCCCAGCAGTGCAGGTCTGAGCGGGGTCCCAGCGACACGGAGCACGAGGCGGAGAACGGAAAAGAAAGCGAGAAGGGGCAACCCGTGCCTTTTGTTCTTCACCCCGCCTCGGGACGAGGGTAGCGACGTGAGCCTCCACACGTAATACAGGCATGTCTTCAAGGACGACTGCGACCACGAAAGTCTGCAGAACCACTTCAATCCAAACGGGGCTTTGAGCGGCAGTGGCCGAGCAACACATCAAAGAGCAACAGTACATTACCATTGCGCTGGCCGCGACGCGGCGCAATTATGAAAACGGATCTGGATTCCTCCTGGTGTTCGCGGAGGAGGTCGAGAAAGCATAGCCCATGGGCTTGCCCAGGTAGAACAAGCGAGCACCGAAGACGTTTGCGGCGATGCATGGACGACATGAGCTCGTCCAAGGTCGCCTCCTGCTCGGGGAGCGGCGCTCGGGCAGAAGCGACGTCGTCATCGCCTCTGGCCCGCGGTGGTTCGCCGCTCTCCCGGGCGCCGTGGCCCCGAGCGAAGTGAGGTTAAAGCGAGACTCTCGGCAGCCCAGTATGGGCCAGCGGCGCCGCCAGGCGCTCCTCGGCGCGGAAGGAACCTCTCGTGTGGGCTCCCCCGCTCTTTCCTGAGAAGCTCGAGCTGGCGCTGGACCCAGAGGGAGGAGAAGTTTAAGGTGGAGATCTAGGTCGACGAGGTGAAGGTAAGGAGGAGGAGGAGGAGGAGAAAGAGGAGGAGGAGGAGGAGGAGGAGGAGGAGGAGGAGGAAGGGGAGGAGGAGGAGGAGGAGGAGGAGGAAGGGGAGAAGGAGGAGGAGGTGGAGGAGGAGGAGGAGGAGGAGGAGAAGAAGGATTGGAAGGGGATGAGGTGGAGGAAGAATGGTTGGTAGGGCGAGGTACAGGAGATGGAGGAGTAGGTGAAAGCGGAAGCGAAAGGAAATCAAGAGGGGGAATGTGAGGGGGAAGAAAAAGAGTGAGAAAAAAGATGGCGGCGACAGCGACGACGAGGGGGATGATTGGGAAGAGGAGAGGGAGGAGGGGGAGGCTGGGGGAGGGGGAGGTGGCTGTGTGTGTGCTGCCCGACAGGCGCACCTTGAGGCCCTCCACGATGCCCGTCTGCGAGGAGCCCAAGGAGAGAAGAAGCTCGCAATACGCCCACCGGCACCTCAGCAAAGTCAAAGAGCAAGAGTCGGAAGGAAGCGCTGTTGCTGGCCATCAAAAGCCTCCGAGACGAGCTGAGAGGGAAAAGAGACTGCCCTTGCTCGATAAGAGGGTTTGGGATTGCTCTGGTGTCAGACAGCGGCCCAGAATGCCACGGGCGCAAGCGATGGCGCAAGTCAATAGACTCAGATTCCTTGAGACAGACCGACGTGTGAGCGCAAAAATCAAGCGAAATAGATTGCAAATCGCCCCTTCGCATGCTCCTCGTCATCCTCCCCAAGCAACAGCGACGATCTGAAGAATGATCACTCTTACTCGCTCGCGTGTCGTTCACTGTGTGACTACAGAGCTATCAATACATCTTCGTCCTCGATCGTCATTCCCTTCTGGAGGGGGGGCCTCCTGTTCATTACTGGGGCAGGCAGACGGACGAGCCCTTACTCGGGCGGTTGGGCGGGCGGACCCTACGCGACTCGCGCGGTGAGGATCGGGCAGGCGGACCCTGGCTCGAAAGGCTGGGCCGGGCCCGACGGACCCAAATACGAGGAAGAGGAGGGAGGAAGAAAAAGTAGTACAGGAAAGGAGGGGCAAGGAGGAGCGAGGACGGGGTAACTTTAGCCACTAGAAAGAGTCAAGGCGCCCCTCCCATTTCCATCCCCTCTCCCATAACATCCGACACCGTGCCCTGAGGCACGAGTTGGAGTGTCCTCAGGTCTGTCGAGCCCCCTGGCATCGGTCGTAAGAATGTCGCGCACCCCCCGCCCCAAGACGACCTCCGAAACCGCCAGCGGGCCCCCAAGGAGCTACCCAGAAGCTCCACAAGGCCCATACGAGGCCCAAATCGGGCCGCAGGCCCCCGAGATGCCCCCGAAAAACCACAAGACACCCGAAATTCGCTACCCCTACCCCACCCTCCCCCTTCAGAAATCGTGGGGGGTAAAGGTAGGGCTCACATCAAGTTGGCCAGCTAGAACGAGCCAAACGGTCCCGTCCACTCCCACTCGCCCTCCCAAAACATAAAAAGCAAGTGCGTCGCGTCCGACGCCTGTCGTTCATCTTATATCGTGGGCGGCTGGACGTTCAGCGCGCGACATGAGCTGCGTCCTGTTCCTGACGCGTATTGAGCAACGTCGACGAGAAACAAGACAGCGCGCGATGTACGCCGCGCCCCGCTCTGGCCTCTCATGTTGCATCGTCGGCGACAACATGTCCAGCGCGCGACGCGCGCCGCGTCTCATTCCAGCCACGCGTGTTGCACCGCCAATCGTTTCGCCCCTGCCGCGCATGGAGGAGAGGGAGGAGGAGGAGAAGGAGGAGGAGGAGGAGGAAAGAGAAGGAGGAAAGATGAGGAGGAGGAGGAGGAGGAGGAGGAGGAGGAGGAGGAAGGGGAGGGGGAGGGGAGGGAGAGAGGGAGGGAGGGAGAAACTGAGGAAGAAGGGAATGCCTCTTGGGAATTCGCGGGGCGTCCTGGGAATTTTCTGTTATACGCCTGAGGGCCTCTTGAATATATCTTCCGGGTTGGAACAGTGTCAACACAAGTAGGTGCTAACCCCGCAGTCCTTCAAACACCAAATGAAAATCAATATTTGTGTTGCCCCCCCAAGACCTCCTGGACGACTTTGTTCGACCTCTCGGGGGTCTTCTGAGGCACTTGCTGGAACCGCACTTGCTTGAGGCATTATGACTCGCCGCCCGCCCATCTCCTCAACCCGACGGGCCGCAGCGTCGACGACAAGAAAGTCCACGTTGACGAGCAAGCGTCCCCGCGCGATGTGCGCCGCGTCCTGTTCCCGCTTCGCGATTCGCAGCGCCGACGAATAGAACGTACATGTTGGCAAGACAAACGTCGACGTTGCAATGTTTAAGACAAGTAGGATGGGGGGTCCCGCGTAGGGTTGGCCAGGCGTCCGCGCGCGATGTGCGCCGCGTCCCATTCCTGCTACACTTTTCGCAGCGTCGACGACAAGAAAGTCCATGTTGACGAAAAAAACGTTGACTTTGTATTGTTTTTTGATGGGTAGGACGCGACCACCCGCTTGGGGTTACCCACGCGATGTCCATTCCGTCCCATTCCTGCTACACTTTTCGCAACTCGACGACATGTTTGGGGGAAAAATTAGTTTGCATTGTTTTTTGAAAGCTAGGACGGGCCAGCTAGGTGGGATGTGGGGGTGTTTAATCACAGGATAGAATATAAGGATGTGGCCCCCGACCGACACGGGGATTTTGGACGAAAAATCGGAGGTGAGGGGGTGAGATCGAAGTGGAACGGAGAGCCCCCCTACCGGGAAATCGATTTCGGTTTCGTGTTCGTGCGTGCCGTGCGCGCGGGCGAGGCGAAGCTGCGTGGGCGGGCGAGAAGAAAGTCTCCTGTGGCTGAGGCGCGGCCGGACCAAATGTGTTTTTTCCGGGCGGCCGGTGGCGCGCGGTGTCCCGCCGGTGTCCCGCTGGTGTCCCGTCGGTGTCCCTGTGGCTGAGGCGCGGCCGGACCAAATGTGTCTCTTCTGGGCGGCCGGTGGCGCGCGGTGTCCCGCCGGTGTCCCGCTGGTGTCCCGTCGGTGTCCCTGAGGCTGAGGCTGCGCGGCCGGACCAAATGTGTCTCTTCCGGGCGGCCGGTGGCGCGCGGTGTCGCGCCGGTGTCCCGCCGGTGTCCCGTCGGTGTCCCGTCGGTGCCCCGATGATGATGTGGATGATTATGATGATGATGATGATGATGGTGATGATGGTGATGATGATGATGATGATGGTGATGATGATGATGATGATGTTGATGATGGCGATGATGATGATGATGATGATGATGATGATGATGATGATGATGATGATGATGATGATGATGATGATGATGATGATGATGATGATGATTATGATGATGATGATGATGATGATGATGACGTCGATTGTGAGATCGATTGTGATATCGATAGTGAGACCGAATGTGAGATCGATTGTGAGATCGATAGTGAGATCGATTGTGAGATCGATAGTGAGATCGATTGTGAGATGATGATGGTGATGATGGTGATGATGGTGATGATGGTGATGATGATGGTGGTGATGATGAAGACGTTGATGATGCTGATGATGATGGTGTCCCGATGACGATGATGTTAATGATGATGTTGATGATGGTGATGATGATGTTGATGATGATGGTGTCCCGATGGTTAAAGTCCGATAGTGAGACCGAATGTGAGATCGATTGTGCGATGCTGATGGTGATGATGGCCATGATGGTGATGATGATTGTGATGATGATGACGACGTTGATGATGATGATGCTGATGATGATGATGATGACGATGATGATGGTGATGATGATGATGATGTTAATGGTGATGTCGATGATGATGATGACGACGTCGATAGTGATATCGATTGTGAGATCGGTAGTGAGATCGGTAGTGAGACCGAATGAGACACCGAATGAGGTCTCCTCCACCACGCACCCCTCCGATGATGTTGATGTTGATGTTGTTGTTGTTGATGATGATGATGACGTTGATTGTGAGAGCGGTTGTGATATCGATAGTGAGACCGATAGTGAGACCGAATGTGATATCGATTGTGAGATCGATTGTGAAATCGATAGTCAGATCAATTGTGAGATAGATCGAGTGAGATCGATTGTGAGATCGATCGAGGGAGATCGATCGAGCGAGACCGATACTGAGATCGATAGTGAGATCGATAGTGAGACCGATCGAGTGAGACGTTGGTTCCCCCCCCCCGAACCTCCTTATCACCCGAAGGGTGGTCGTATAGTACAAAAATACACAAATAAACCCCAAAATGGTTTTAAAAAAGATATCAAAAAATAGTCCCCAGACTATGCTTTTACTATTTTTGAATATTCCTCCCGTAAAAAGACAGGCCCGACTTACTGCGAGACTGAAGTCCCCCCCGTGGTCGCCGCCAGCACCCGCAGGCCAAAGCACGGGAGCCGCCCCGCGAGCTTAGCCCCTCGGCGGGCGCGCACCCCCTGCGACACGCGGGTCGCAGCGGGGGGGAAACCCGCACGAGCAAGCCGGGGGCGAAGGCACGACGACGACGACGACGACGACGACGACGACGACGACGACGACGACGACGACTAGCACGGCTACGACGACGAGGCCGACGACGATGACGGCTAGGACGGCTACGACGACAGCGAGGAGTAAGGAGCCGAACTCTATAACTATACACCGACGCTGGAAAGCGTGTCCTGGTGTACACGGGACACTGGTGTATACATTTGTCGTCGTGTCCCCGGGAAAACGGGGAAAGAGTGTACACCACACCACCCCTACGTCGTCCCCGAACCTCGAAAAAGTCCTGGAATCCCACCAGCCCTTTAGGGCGTAGGTGGTCTAGAGAGTTTCCTCTGCCAACCCCCCTTCTTTCCCTTCGGGGAGGGGTTTACCCCTCCCCTTACCCCTCCCCACTGACCTGGACGGGGCGTTCCGCGACGCGTTGGGACGCCCAAGATGGCTCAAGACAGCTCCAAGAGCGAAAAGGCGAGAAAGCACAAAACATTGATTTTACCTAGGTTTTGGAAGGATTTTGGCCTCTTGGGGGGGCCCAAGAGGCGATCCGAGGCACTCTAGAGGGGCGAGGCTAATTGGGGACCCCCCTTCTTTGATCGATCTCCTCCAAGATGGCCCCAAGAGCGCCCCGAAGGCTCCCAAGAGCGCCCCAAGAGCGCCCCAAGAGTGCCCCAAGAGGCCCCAAGAGGCGCCCAAGAAGCCTCCAAAAGGCTCCCAAGAGACCCCCAAGAGGCCCAAGAGGCTCCCAAGACGGCCCAAGACGGCTCCAAGAGCGAAAAGGCGAGAAAGCACAAAACATTGATTTTACCTAGGTTTTGGAAGGATTTTGGCATCTTGGGGGAGCCCAAGAGGCGACTCGAGGCACTCTAGAGGGGCAAGGCTAATAAGCAACCCCCCCTTTTTTGATAGATCTCATCCAAGATGGCCCCAAGAGCGCCTCGAAGGCTCCCAAGAGCGCCCCAAGAGCGCCCCAAGAGGGCTCCAAGAGGCCCCCAAGAGACCCCCAAGAGGCCACAAGAGGCTCCCCGAGATACGCAAGAGGCCCCCGGGACCGCCAAGAGGCCCCAAAGACGGCCCAAGAGGCCCCCAAGCTCGCCATTGTCCTCCTCCTCCTCTTTCTCTTCCTCCTCCCTCCTCCCCCTCCCCCTCCTCCTCCTCCTCCTCCTCCTCCTTTTCCTTTTCCTCCTTCTCGTCCTCGCAGTCCTCCATCTCCTCCTCCTTATCTTCCTCCTCCTCCTCCTCCTCCTCCTGCTCCTCCTCCTGCTCCTCCTCTACCTCCTCCTACTCCGACGACGACGGCTCCTCCTACATCCTCTCCCTCTTGGGGTATATGGCGGCTCACCCCGCCCTCTGTTCTTCTGCATGCTCCCCCGCTTCCCTCATAACCTCCACTCCCCTGGGACTCATTTTTGGACGGGCTGGTGGGGATACGCGAAGCGTCTAGAATTGAAAAACAGCCCGCCACTGGTAATGCATGTGCTCCAGCTTCCGAAGGAGGGGCGGAGCGAGATGGCGGCGGAGGGGAGGCGGCGGACACGAGAGGTGCCCACACGTTGCCCCCGCCGGCAAGCCGGCATCACCGTCGCGACACCGAGAGTGGACCCGCCGACGGAACAGTTTCACCCCACGTCGCGGACAAATCAGCCTGGCGAAGGACCCAACCATGTGCAGCTGTGCGTGCGGCAACTGTGAACATCTTCCTCGGTGGCGCTCCCGATGGGGCCCCGAACCCTGTGAGGGGTGTGCCGAAATGGGTGCGGCGGACGCATGTGGACGGTGGCACTGGGGCCTTCGGTGGACCTCCCTATGGGGCCACGAAACGTGCGAGGGGTGTGCCGACATGGGTGTGGGGGACGCAAGCGGGCGGTGGCGCTGGGGCCTTCGGTGGAGTTCACTATGGGGTGGCGAAACGTGTGAAGGGTGCGCCGAAATGTGCGTGGAGGACGCCAGTGGACGGTGGGACTGGGGCCTTCGGTGGAGCTCCCAATGGGGCCACGAAACGTGTGAGGGGTGTGCCGACATGGGTGCGGGGGACGGAGGGGGACGGTGGCGCAAGGGTCTTCGGTGGAGCTCTCTATAAGGCCACGGAACGTGTGAGGGGTATGCTGACATGGGTGCGGGGACCGCATGCGGGCACCCCCACTAGGGCCTTCGATGGAGCCCCCTATGGGGCCACGAAGCGTGTGAGGCGTGTGCCGACAGGGGTGCGGGGACCGCATGCGGGCACCCCCACCAGGGCCTTCGGTGGAGCTGCGAAGCGTGTGAGGGGTGTGCCGACATGGGTGCGGGGACCGCATGCGGGCACCCAAGCCAGGGCCTTCGGACACGAAACGTGAGGGGGGGGTGCCAAAGCGAGGGGGTGACGGGAGGAGGGAGGAGGGCGGGGGAGGAGGAGGAGAGCAGAGAGAAAACGAGAACTCGACACCACAGGATGACTGGAAAAAGGGCGGGCGGAGGGCCCAGTCCGCCGTGGGCAGAGGCGCACGCGCACACGCACATGCACTTCTCGGCGGCCGCGGCCTCGAGCGCAGCGACGGGGCGGAGCAAATCGAGCAAACGGCAACAATGAAGGGAAACTGGGACACACAAATAAATACACACAAATAAAAGGATTCCCAATAGTTTCCCATATTTTCTGGGTTGTTGCCTTCCCCCCCACTTCCCAGATTTCCCAGATGTTCTGGGGAATCGACGATAAATTGTGTCTGTGTGTTTTTCCCCCTCCTGAAACAAGCTAACGCGCGCGGCCGGGACCTCAGACGCGGGACCACGTTGGATCGCCGCACATGGCCACCCAGGCGGCAGCGCAGAACCATCCGGGCGTGGATGGCAGGGGGAAGGGAGGCAGTACTGGCCGCCGCTCACGGGAGGGACCCACGTGGAGGCAGCAGCGCGGACGCGAAGGGACAAGGAGCCAGCAAGGGATTCGGGAGAACGTCAAGGCGATGGCCACAGAGCGGGAAGAGGACGGAGGGGCAAAATGCCACAGGACAGTAGCTCCTGGCCTTCCTCCCTACACACACACACACACTCGCACGCACGCACACACTTTTTCGCGGTCGCGGCCTCGCGCGCAGCGACGAGGCAGAGAAAGTCGGTCAGAGAGCGGACAAATAGCGCGCGCGGCAAGCTCGTCACAAGATGGGGCAAGGACCCGTAGGGATCAACAATGCCATGCACATACCCGAGTGTGGGCATCGAGGGTGGAGGAACAGCGAGCAGTGGACGAAGTATGGGGGTGGAGGCGTGCAGCCGAACCGACAGGCCGAAGGACTAGGCAACAGGAACAGAAAGGCATGCCCGATGGTGGAGCAGCGGGCTGAAAGGATAGCAGCACGCAGAGAGCAGCACCATGCCCAGAGATGCGGCAGTGAAGCAGAGACCTGGTGTGGTGAGACATGGAAGGCGGCCACCATTACACACACACACACACACAAACACACACACACACAAACACACACAAACACACACACAAACACACACAAACACACACAAACACACCAAAAAAAACGCGCACACAACACAAAACAATCACTTCTTCATCCTCCGCCGATGTGACGGCACGGTCGCGAGCGATAGCATCTGACACTGACTACCACGTAGATTAGCACCAGGCGTTGCACGTGGGCGACCGGTTCCTCGCCATCCTCGCCTGGAGTGAGAGGGTGGGGGGGAGGCGCGGCCAGGGCGGGCGCAGCGACGCGGCCAGCTCGCCCTGCGGGGCACTCCCAGCGGGGTTGCCGCCGATCCTCGAAGGCGCGCGGGAGGGAACGGAGGGGAAGGAGGGAGGGGAGAGGGGCGAGAAGGGAGAGGAAGGGAGGAGAGGGAAGGAGGGAGAGGGGAGGGAGGAAAGGGAGGAGAGGAAAGGGAAGGCAGGAAGATGGGAGAGGGACGAGGGAGAGGAGGGAGGGAAAAGGGATGGAAGAGAGAGGTGGAAGTTGGTCACGGCGGCGCCCATGATTAGAGCTGGCGCTGAAGGGGATATGGGGAGGGAGTATGAAAAGGAGGGAGGGGGGAGAGGCCCCAAAGACGTCCCCAAGAGGCTCAAAGAAGCTCCCAAGAGGCCTCCAGGAGGCCCCCAAGAGGCTCCCAAGAGGCCCCGCGACGACGTGACCAAGACGGTACAGAATGGCCCCAAGAGGGCCCCCAAAAACCTGACGCCCCAAGAGGGCGCCAAGAGGACCTCCAAGAGCGCTTCCAGAAACAAAAATCATTGATTTCCCATGGGTTTTGAAAGATTTTGGCGTTCCACGTCCGGAAATGACGTGCTGAGCGGCCGCGACATGGCCACCAGCCCCGCCCCCAATGGTGCCAAACGGCGAAAAAGCCCCCCAAGACGGCCCAAGACGCCCCCACGAAACTCCCGAGAACCCCCAAAACGACTTCACTGTACGCACTCGGGACGTGCACCCCGCGAAGCGAGAGAAATCCCTCTCACCATCCCACGCAGCGGAGCGGAAGCCCTAATGCAACGTATCGTATGTATCCAATGATTGCAGAATTGCCACATCTGCCTTGCGTTACATTATTATGTCTTCCCCCTGAACCCCCCTAGAGTCGCGCCACATCCGTCGACCCAAAGATGGCGGACCCCTTCTGGGCCTCGAAACCTATAAAAATACACGGGAAATCTATGATTCGGGACTCTGGGCCTCTTGGGGGTCCATGAGGGCGTCAAGACGGCTCAAGATGGTTTCAATACGGGCCAAGACGGCCCCACGACTGCCCGAAACGGCCCCAAGAGGGCCCAAAAAGCCCCCAAGAAGGCCCAAGAGGGCCCCAAGGAGCCCTCCAAGAGCACCTTCGGAAGCCAAAATCATTGATTTCCGTTGGTTTTTGACGGTTTGTGGCGTTCTCGCCTGTTTCGACTCCGAGAAGCCCTTGACGGCCCAAGCAGCCTCCAAAAGGGCCCCATTCCTGCCCAAGAAGCCCCCAAGACGACTCGAAGACGGCCCAAGAGGGCCAGCCCCAAGATGGCCCAAATAGGCCCCCAAGACGGTCCAAGAGGCCCCAGAGACGGCCCAAGAGAACCCCAAGAGAGCCCCAAGGCGGCTGGGAGACGCCTACAGGATGGCATGGTCTCCGAAGGGACCAAACGGCGCAAGAGCGCCCCAAGACGTCCCAAGACGCCTGCAAGAGGCCCCAAGAGAGTCCCAAAAAAGCCCCAAAGAGGCCCCAAGAAGACCCCAAGAGGTCTCCAAGAGGCCCAAAAAAGGCTCCCATCGGACCCCGCAAAGACTGGACTGGACGTGCTCCGGACGCGCACCCCGCGAAGCGAGAGGAATCCCTCACCATCCCGAATCTAGACGTCTTTCGACATTCTCTTGAGCCGCTTGCCGTTGTGCACCCCTTGCAGTGGCAAGGGAGGCGGCGCAAGCCGTACAGGAAGTCCAATATGATTGGATCACCCTGGGGTCGACCAGCTCCCCAGAAGTTCGAGTACTACTGAAGCGTTTCACAGAGGTGGTGCCTGATCACGAGGTTTCTCTGGCCTGAGGCAATGCTGGTGGCCGCTGGGGCCAGGACTGGTCCCCCCTTGTATCGCAAACTCAGCACCTCACGTCTATTACATCGGCCGTAGGGGGACGAGACGAAGCGTAAGCTCGAACTCTCGCTGTGGCCGAAGTCTCTGCTGGCAATGGCATTATTTCGTGTCGACCACGCAGGTCTCGTGCACTTGCGCATAGGCGCTGGACGGTAGAATTCTTGACACCTATGGGAGGGCAGGGTTACTCTCTCCCTGTGGCTTTTCTGGCCACGAAGCATGATTCTCTGGATCGGCACATCTTCTGTCAAGTTGGAGACGTCTGAATGGTATCGCGGCTGGCAGGTTGGACCCTCGGGGCCAACCCCTACCATCAGCACGGCCCCTCAGGGGGCGGGCGCCGGGGCATTCGGACAAGAGGAGGCTGCGCAATCACAGCATGAGAACTCTATGGTTTCATCACGTCCCCCACCCTCTCCGCTTCGCCCGATCCCGTCGGTCCGCCAGACATACCGCGACGGGAGGGGAAGGCGGGTGGCGCCTGCGAGACACAACACGATACGCAGGCCATCTGTGTCACGCCGTGCCCAGCCAGCCACCGACCAGTTGGGCTGACACTCCCAGATCCCCGAGGGGGCCAGCTGGCTGCCAGAACCAGCTGCCCGACTAGCTGGCCGCTGGGCGCTACACCGCCAACCATCTTGGCACGAAGCAAGCGGGTCCCGAGGGAAACGGGTCCGAACCCCAAACCCACTCCTCGTCCTGAGTCGTTCTCTGACGGTCCGGACGCCTGCGAAGCCCGTGGGAGCCCGAAAACGGCGAAAATTGGCCTGGCGAAGGACCCAACCATAAGCAGTTGTGAACACCGCAGTTGTAGGTCTCGTCCTCGGAGGGGCCCCTTGTAGGGCCACAAAACGCTGTGCTCGGTGGGAGGGACGAACGCAGGCTGCGCCACTGGGACTTTAGGTGGAGCTCCCTATGGGGCTACGAAACGCTGTACTGGGCGGGGGAGACGCATGCCCTATGGTGCCACGAAGCGCTGTACTGGGTGTGGCGGACGCATGTGGGCACCCCCACTGGGGCCTTCGGTGGAGCTCCCTAGGAGGCCACGAAGCGCTGTACTGGGTGTGGCGGACGCATGTGGGCACCCCCACTGGGGCCTTCGGCGAGCTCCCTATGGAGCCACGAAACGCTGTACCGGATGTGGTGGACGCATGCGGGCACCCCCACTGGAGCCTTCGGTAGAGCTCCCTGTGGGACTACGAAACAAACGCTGTACTGGGTATGGCGGACGCATGCGGGCACTCCCACTGGGGCCTTCGATCGAGCTCCCTATGGAGCAACGAAACGCTGTACTGGGTGGGGGAAACGCAGGGAGGAGGGAGTAGGGGGAGGAGGGGTAGGAGGAGGGGGAGGAGGAGAGGAGAGAGGAGGGAGGAACGCGGGGACCGTCTCTTCAAAACGAGAACTCAACACCACAGGGTGGTTGAGAAAAACCAAGGACCTGTCTGCCTCAGGACCCATTTCCTTCATGGCGGCAGACTGGGTCACCTAACTTCGCGCATCGCGCCTGGCGATGCGCAACACGCGACTGTCTTCGCACCCTCGCGCTCTCGCGTCACCCCCCGTGCAGGAGGAGGAGGAGGAGGAGGAGGAGCAGGAGGAGGAGGAGGAGGAGGCCGCCGAGTGCAGAGACCTCCTGCGGAACTCAGCTGCCCGGCAAGGCGGGCGAGACGGGTCCTGGCTCCCGCGGGGGCGCTCCCGCCCGCGCCGGCGACGATGGCGGCCAGCCCCGGGGGCAGGAGGCCGCAGGGCTCCAGCGCCTGCCTGGAGAGCACGGGCTGCGGGCAGGGAGGCCCGGGGGGTCGGAAGCAGAGGGCGACCTCGCATCCTCGAGGAGAGCATCTCCGGGATGTGAAAGAAAAAGGCCTCCAAAAGGAAGGTCGAGCTCTCGTCTCGGAGGCTCTCGATCCTGCGGGGAACAGAGGGGGAGAGCGGGCGAGGGTGGCACAGGCCAGCCACAACTGGGGGAGCTGTGTGGTCCTTACCCCCCTGGGGGACCCATCGATTTCGACACCCCTCTCGAGAGATCGTCGAGGCGATGGGTTCCCTCAGGGGGGTAAGGACCACAGCTCCCCCAGTTATGGTTGGTCGGTGGCAGGGAGGGGGCAGTTCGAGGATCGGTGCTTTCGGAGGTCGGCACGAAGCCAAGATCGGATCGGATCGGTCCGGCCAGGAGGCACGGCAGCGCCATACGAGCATCGGGCGGCACTGGATCGTCGGAACATCGTCGCAGCAACATCATCACCTCATCCTCGTCCTCCGCCTCCTCCTCCTCATCCTCCTCCTCCTCCTCCTCCTCCTCCTCGCCGACCCGCCACAACTGGGGAAGCAGTTTCCTGTGCCGCCCAGGGCGAATCCCTCATACCGACGACCTCTCGAGAAGAGTGTCGAAACCGATGGGCCTCCTGGGGGGCTCAGGGCCACAGCTCCCCCGGCTGTGGCAGGCCTGCCCAAGGGAGATCTTCCCACTCGCCCAACCAGGAGACGCAGTGTGTGTGAAGCCCAGGCCTGATGCGCATGTCCAGCTGCCGCGCGCTCGCCAGCAGGCCCTCCAGCGCGGGTGCCTCCTCGCGCAGCTCCGCGCGGAACCTGCCGAGCACCTCGACCACCCGCGCGCGTAAGTGGTCCATGGGCCACTGTGTGCCGGCGAGCGTGGCCGCCGCGTCTCCTGCGTCCCTCGCGCACGGGTGCGCACCCAGGCGCAAGCCCTCCTCATCCTGCCCGAGCTCGAGCACCTCCTCGGGCCCGAGTGTCGGGAAGGGCCCCGGCACCACCGCGGCGCAGGGCCGGTGCAGGCGGCACAGCGGGCCCCTCTGGCCGTCGTGGAATTGCGGCTCCAGGCGCGCCCTCCACTTAGCGTCCAGGGCTCTCTCCGCGCCCTCCGCCAGGTGACGGGGCGCTGGAGTGCGAGCTGGACCGTCGTCGTCCAGGAAGGGGAACCTGACGTCGGCGTAGACCAGGAGGAGGACTGGGGGCGTCCTCGGCCCCGGCCTCTCCGCCAAGGCTGGCGCCAGCTGTGGGTGGACCATGATGTCGTGCAGCTTGGAGAGCACGCGCAAGGCTGCGGCGTCCACCCGCGGGGCTGCCCCAGGGCACAGCCAGAGCACCAGGCTGCAGACGTTGAACAGCAGCACCAAGTCTGTCATCTGGGCGATCTCCGAGCTGCCGAAGCCGGCCAGGAACGCGGCGTCCCCCTTGCCGGCCAGGTCCTCCCAGAGGTGGCCCTGCGGCGAGGTCGCCGACTCGAGGCACAGGTACAGGACGTTCTCCTCCTCCCCGTAGACCAGCTCCAGGCCGCCGAGCCGCTGCAGCAGGCCGCCCAGCTCTCCGCCGCCCGGCGGCGCGCCCGCGCCGCACGCGCCGCGCAGCCGCAGGTGGCCGACGAGGCCACGGGCGGCCAGCGAGCATGCCCCCGCCCCGCCGAACACGCCCACGAGCACCGGCGGCGGCGCGCCGTCCGGGCCGCGCCCCGGGGGCCCATCCTCGCCGGCGCTCATCGGCCGCGGGCGCGGAGGGGCGCCATCGGTCGCGGGCCGGGCCGGGCGCGGGGCGGCGCCCCACAGCGGAGCACGGGGAGCTGGAGGGAGCGCGGGGAGGAGCGGCAGCAACGTCGGGAGGGGGAGAGAGCTCCTCCTCCAGGAGGTTGGGCACCGTTCGCGTGTTGTGAGGTGCGCCCAGAAAGGGCTGACTCTCTTGGCCGTGGCCGGATCCGGCTCGGGGGCCTGGTCAGGACGCGCTCCGGGAGAGGTCTGGGGGGGCGATACAGAGAGATGGGACAGGGTGCCCTCGAACTGCTAGGAGCAGCTCCGACTTCCCAGCGAGAGGATTGGTGTGAGGGGAGGCTGCAGAAACTCCACCACGCCGGCTGGAAGGACGGCCACGCCTGACGGCAAGAAGCTGAAGCTGCTGCTGCTGCTCTATCTTCTCCCCCTTCTCCAATCGAAAAAAGAGGTCGTGCAAATCCCACCGATACCAACACGCACCGCCCTCCTTCTGTGGACAGCTGATCCTCCACTTCGCAAGATCTCCGTCGAACATCGGGACCGATGGCCCCTTGGCGAAGTGGTGGGCGGCCATGTACATGAAAGCCGCTGTTCAAAATACATCTGGTATACACCAGAACCCTAAGTAAGGAACGAGGCCCCTTTTTTCCATGAGTGAACCTTCGATTTCCTGCCGAAAACATAAAGAAAGCCTGAGGCAAGCTGTGAAACACTTAAGGAACGCGGAGCCCCTCCCCAACGAAAAGGGTTCCTTCTTCAGGGCCCCGACTGTACACCAACGTGTCACGAACACTCCGCCGACCCCACGTCCCTGACCTGCTGGCCACGCACCCTGTCCGAGCCAGAGCCTTCCACGGAGCTCGATCCGGGAGGCGTGCACGGGCAGGTGACCCGCCCCTGTGGCTGGGAAAAAAAAGGCCAGGATCGAGAGGCAGCAGGAATTGGCGGCGCGCACAAGGGGGTGGAGGGAGGGGGGAGGGCTTCTTAAAAGGAGGCTGCTTCTTAGAAGGCGCCGGCCTTACATCTATAGACAAGGCCCGCGCCTTCTAAGAAGCAGGGGTGCTTCTAAGAAGCCCTCCCCCCTCCCCCCACCCCCCTCTGCGCGTGGCTGAAAGAAGGCAGGAAGGCTGCCACGCAGACTGGGCAGGGCGGCGACCGGAGGACGCAGGACGGAGGCCGGAGCAGAGAGGGCAGAAGGGCACAGGACACGGAAGAGGCCAGGATCGAGAGGCAGGAGGAAGGCAGGAAGGCTGCCACGCAGACTGGGCAGGACGGCGACCGGAGGACGCAGGACAGAGGCCGGAGCAGAGAGGGCAGAGGGCACCTGGACATGAGACAT